CTCTTTACTAATAAACTCTACATATCATTTCCTCATTTTTCTACTTCAACATCTCAACCACTGTGTTGTGTACTGTACTATAAAAAGGGAGCATAGAAGTTGAAGACAAATAGGTTATAGAGTACAAACCCTCATTTCTAAAATGACTTAAATGACAATTCTACAAAAGGTACGAATATATAGAACCCTTTAAGATCTCGCATTTACCATGAGCCATGCGAATCATTTCAATCCATTTTCTGGAATGTGTGTGATTATCCTCTAAATATTTGATGGCCTCCAAAAGCACCTTACAAAGCTCTTCAGCAGAGAAGCAAACAAATTCAAATGAAAAAGCAAATAGTTGCATGACGTTCTCTCTGCAGAGTGGAAGATGAAGCCAAAGTTTTGACATCCATTGGTTAAAGCAATGAGTGAAAACACACTGCCAAGTATGATCACTAAAACACTTGGTCCTTTCCACTAAAGACAGAAAAAATTGTGTGAATTTTTAATTTCCATAAAAAAATTGTAGTTTGTAAGTTTAGTGATTGTTCAGCAAAGTTTAGTGAAGTTCTCAATGCTTCCTTATTCTTATTCCATTTCCGCAAATGTGTCATTTGAATCTCTCATCTCACCTATTTTCCAGACATATCTGTATTAAGTTTATTCTAGGCTACTAAGAACGGACTCCAAAAAGCCATCTTTATGAGAGATAAGTCACTGGGCGTCAGCTGAACCATAGTAACTGTGTACATGCTTTAGTGCATCATAGATGCAACTGAATTTAAACCTCAAAGGAAGAGTTTCAATCCAAGTTGCATTATTTAACAGCGGGGGTACACTAAAAGCATACGTAGCCAGTGATGGTGAATCATCTCAAGGGTTGTAGCCTTGGCTGTACATCTGAATCAACATTATACAGCACAGCTGGGGAGGACCAATAGTGACCAAAGATCTCCTGCCTCTTGCACAGGGATTGTTTTTGGGAACTGTTCTCTGTCCTGGTATCAACAACATTGCAGTACTATTGTATGTTGTGTATGTTGATAGTTCAGAGCAACATATGTAAGACAAAGTATTTTGCCAGAATGCCATTTCTGTAACCATCTTTGCAGAAGGGAAATGGTCCAGTGGAGGTAGTAATCAACACCATGAAAGAGGCGTGTTTAAACTGTTATTCTCAATGACCATCTTAGTGGGTCAGATTTCAGAAATTATAATGTTCATTCAATATATCCCAGGACCGTTTTGTTTTAAAATCTTGGTATCATCTTGACAGTAATTATTAAACAACTGCCACTTCAAATACTGTGGATGGGATACTTTCTATTGCAATCAGTGTATTTTCACATGTATAACCTGCCCTGCAGATAACTGTATGAAATCAGAGGCAAAGGAGACAGACGAGAAAAATTAGAGGCAGAGAAGCTTTTGGGGGAGAACAGATTTAAATAAGACTCCCTTGCTCCCTCAGATATATTCATGGACAGCTGCTGAATTACAATGTTACCTGGCTTTTTCAAAAGATGCTCTGTGGGTAGTAAAACTGACAGCTCTTCTGTGATTAACAATTTTTCAGTTTTCTTACCTTTATGGTCTACTAAGTGGAGGTACTATTTTCATTCATGCCATTCTGCCCTTACTTTTAGCATATTTTTTCTAACGCACAAGGATCCCTATGGATAATAAAGGTATCAGAAGTTTTCAAGACTGACCAGTAGAATAGGACAAATCTCAGTTTTTCAAAAGAAAGAAGTGGCAACACAACTTTCTTCAATGGAGTCTGTATAAAACAGAGCCTTTAAACATGTTTTATCGCATCAGAAACCATCTATATTTTGCTATTTGCATAGGTGGAAGGAATCAGAAATATTTCCTGGCTTAGAGTTCCAGCTGAACATGGCACCCCAATCCCTTTGTATATAGAAGACACACATTTTTTTCCCAGTTTGTTCCTTCTTTTTTTTTTTTTCTTTCTTTCTTTCTTTCTTCTTTTTTTTAATATATATAAGTCTTTGGTCTATAAGCACATTGGTTCTGTGTGCACATACACAATACTGTTGAACAGTAGGTTGCATAGAGTCTGTTACTCAAGAACCTCGCCTACTTTTGGCACTGCTGTCACGTATCACAGAAAAGTGTCCAGCAAGAGTTGTATGATCCTTAGCATCCTACATCAAACGCTGATCTAGAGATCCAGAGACTGGAAGAAGAGTGTATATAATGTTAAAAAAGATGTTTATTTTGGGTGTTACTTTGTCTTCTTTGGGACACAGTTTGTAAATCTTGGATGAAAAAGGAGAGCAAAATTATTTTATAAACACCCTTAATTTTATTTCTAGAGGTGAGGAAATACTGCTGAGCATTCAAAGTTTGCTGTGAATTATGTTAAGTGAATTTTGCTCAAGTTTTCACCCATTAAAATAAACTACTTCTAATAACGTATGACATTCTGCCTTCTCTCTCCTCAGCCTACTAAGAAAGTGGCAATAATTATATGAACGATACCTAGACTGAACTGTGTCCGAGGAAGCAATGAACTTTTCATCTGATGTTTTTTCCATTACACCCCTGCTCTCATCCATCTGAACGTGCAAGAACAGTTTCAGGAGTGAGGTCTGGATTCACAATTGTGCACTTGAACAAACACCTTTCAACATGGAATCTCTGCAAAAAGCTAGAATGTGTAGAGGTCAAAAATTGCAAGGCGAAAAAAAAAGTGAGAATGAGTTTATCCTAACTGTTGACATCAATGCTTTTGGGTATTTGCACAACTAATCAAGTCTAATTCTAATGCAATTAACCACCAAATTTAATTTTAAATTATGCTAAAATAATATCCCACAATCACCACAGTTTTTTTTCCCTGAATTGCTAATTGACCACATTACCCACTATTTAAAATATCAATCCAGTGTTTTAAAACTCTATGTTGGAGGAACGGCCACTGTGATTTGATAGGCAATTTCAAAACCAGCACTTTAAAACACAAAGATAGCAAAAATACCTGAAGCAGATCTAGAATCTATAAAGCTATGTTCTATCTTACTGTAAGTAACAAATCAAGCAACTATTACTTGTAGCAGACTCAGCAAAAGCAACAGGGATGGACAGAAGGGATCTGAGCGTGATGCTCTCCACCACTGAGAATCCCAAGAGATGAAGTTTTAGAATGGATATTCCCTTTTGTCCAGAAGTTCCCAGAAGAATACAAAATAAATAATATTTCAAAGACAGTACAAGTGAAAATACTGCTCCCATCGTGTCGGTTACATACACATACAGCATGCCTACGTATACAGAATGGTGTGTTGTCTTCATTCACAAACAGGAAATATGGCAGTGCACTATCAGAATGCTTTGATACTCCTAATTTTTTCTGATGCTGAGATATATGAATAAACCGCATTCACAACTTATAATTTACTTCCAGTAGCAAACAGTTCATTCTGTTCGTGTCTCATGATTGAACTCAAGGATTAATGCTCCTCTGAGCAAGTGCCACCAGTAAGATACCCGTTTGTCCCATTGGAACCGCCGGTCCCATTAGTGGTGATAGTGCTGTGCGGGATCTTTGAACGAGGTACTGTTTCTTCTTCATCTGAGCTTGATTCAATGTCACTTCGGTCATCCTTTGCTACCTGTAAAATTAGAAAAAAAAGCAAGCAGTAG